TCAACTTTTGAAGTAACATGTTTAAGAAAATCATTTCAAATGTGAGGAAACAAAACGACTGCATGATTGTACATTCAAAAGGACAAGGATTCAAATGAGGTGGTACTTTATATGTGGTGATGCTCCATTTCCGAACCCGCTGGAGTTTTTCACTTGCTGGATTCTTGTTGCTGCCCTGAACCACAACTGAAGTCCCTGTGACGCTCTTCTCAGGAGTCTTTGGCAAATCTACAAAAAACAAATAAATGTTTTACTTAAAGCTGAGGCACCCAATTTAATTAGTTTTTTTTACCCATGAATAATAAGTAAAATGTGAACAAATCACACCGCAATGCTGCTTAGAAAACATGTTTTCTTTTGCTTATTTGAAAGAAAGATCCTTGTGAGTCAATATTTGACCTTTTAGGCTGAGAGCTGATTGGCTGAGTGACGATGCTCCTATCTTGTTCAGTTTTCTGTTTTGTAGTAGTTACAGTACATGGATTTACATATTGTGGTTGTAAAGTTGGGTACCCCAGCTTTAATATTGTTTTCATGTGGTCTCATAGCAGTAGTTTATTTACCTTCGATTGTCACGGTCTGCTCTGTGATCTGTGGAGCGCCCTCCTCAGGTGTGCAGTGGTCTTTGACTGTTGTGTGGTTTGAGGTATCACTGGATTCCTGCAAAAATAATGACCATTATCAGACTGGCTCTTCACACGTTGAACAATCTGGTAAAATCGGTTTGGAAATGTTGTGTTTCCCATTGATTCTGAGGAGGCAGTGTCACAAATCATTTCGACAAATTTTAGACCACCATCCCCTGTGTATCAGTGAATCAACAATCGTGACCATGTGGCTGCAATCTGCATACTGTATAACCCTATTGTTTATTGTAAAACACCCACACACACTATATGAATATACTCCGACAAAAGTAGTCGCCTTGGCCTTCACAATGACACATTTACAGACAACAAGAGCCTCCCATGTTTTTTAATTAAATATTATTATTATTATTGGGACAAGAGTTTGCTAAATATTAACCTTATAATTATGGGGAAAAAAACTGATTCTCCTCTATTGCGCAAATTGATCTGGAGCAAACAAAAGCAGAAAAGCAAAAAAATAAGTTGACACAAAAAAATGTATCTGTAATTTCTACCGACCTGCTTCTGGTTGTAGTCCAGTGTTAGGGGCCGCTATTGTTAAAGCTAAAATCCTCGATCAGAAATGACAGCTTCAACCAGATAGAACTTCTGAAAGCTGCTGGTTAAAGGGCAGAGGTGAAAAGTCCTCTATTGACTTGGGTGAGGTGGTCAATAAAAATACAACTGGATAATTTTCAAAAGGAGATTGAGCAATCCCTTTAAGAAACAATATTTGGCTTTTAGCTACAAGAAAAAACTTTTGTTTTCTAACTAATTAATCCAGTCGCTGTTTACTTTAGTAGGTAATGTTGATTACTAGTGTAAAGAAAAACAAATTCAAGGATTTAGTAAATATAAATAAAAATAATTTATTGTGAGGCTGAAGAATGCCATAAGTTTGTCATAAAGAGGTGTTTTAAGCATTTTACAGATACACACTCTCCAATGAGCATATGTTTTGCGCAAACAGTTTTTTTGTATCTTTCAAAACATACACACACACACACACACACACACAAACACATACACATATACACACACAAACACACACACACACAAACACACACACACACACACAGGGCAGGAACCAAAACAATTAAAAATGATATATTATAGATTTTTTGACTCCCTACTTTGTTTCGTAAAAAACATTCATTCAAATACTTTCAAGGGTTACGGTAATACAATTATTATTCTTTTTTTTCATCTGGTGACATAAGTTGGTGGGAAATACTGTTGTAACCAATGAACTGCCTAACTGCTACTGAAATGATGTAACACAGAGATGATGAGTATTCGGATATTAAAGGTGACATTCCATCCAACCAGATTAACCCACTGAGCACGGCGGCGGGTTCAAAGACACGATCTTGTGTTCGTCGTGATGAGTCCAGTGCACAGTGAAGTGAAGGGGGTCATAAATTACACAGAACGATCACTGTGAGAACTGGAGCTAACCAGAGCCAATCAGATGCAGCGGAGGGGCAGAGGGGGAGGGGTCTGCGCGGGAGAGAAAAACTAAACATAAAGATCTACAAAACAAATGCAGCATAAGCTCAACCAAATAATCAGAAATATTCTGCAGATGGGCTTTAAAGCTGCGGTATCCAACTATCAAACCCCAAACAATTGAGTAGTTTTCAACGGTTCTAACACTAGTTTTCACGTTAATGTATTTTTGGCCTCGATCACATCTTTTAGATCAGCTTTGTCAGACAGAAAAGTGAAAAACATCACTCAGCCAATCAGCTCTCAGCCAAAAGCACCAAATAGTGACTCACAGGACTCTTTCCAAGAAGTAATGAAAGGTTTAAATGAAGACAAAGCAAAAATATTTAAACGTATAATCACTGATGAAACAATCCTCACCCTAAACAACAGTCTGTTGCTCCAGGATTGGACCAAGGTTTACAACGAACCAGATGTGGACAGTGCTTATTGTGCCTTTTTAGACATCTTTACTTCATTGCATGATAAGCACTGCCCGGTAAAGGAATATTTCATAAAGGAAAAATGTAAACAAAGCCCTTGGATTACAAAAGGAATACTTAATGCCTGTAAAAAGAAAAACAATCTCTACAGAATGTTTCTCAAAGTTAAAACAGCAGAAGTGGAACAAAGATATAAGAAATACAAAAATAAATTAACGGATATCATAAGAACAAGTAAACGGTTATACTATGAAAACAAACTGTATGAAAATAAAAACAATATGAAAGGAACTTGGGATACTTTGAATAGCCTAATCAAACAAGGACATTCAAAGTTAACATATCCTGATCATTTTGTTCTTGAAAATGGTGAAGATTATAATATTAGAAATATAGTAAATAGGTTTAATGATTACTTTGCAAATATTGGGTCTAAATTAGCTGCTGATATTCAAGACAATGAAGTTACAGAATCCCCTATTAAACAAAATTCTTGGTCTTTCTTCCTCTCAGCAACAAATGAGCAGGAAGTAACACAAATCGTACAGACATGTAAAAGTAAGTCGTCCACTGACTGTCATGATATCAATATGACCGTGATTAAAAAAGTTATTCTGAATATTGTTAAACCCCTAACTTACATCTGTAATTTATCATTCCAGACCGGTTCTTTTCCAAATAAAATGAAAATTGCGAAAGTAATTCCACTGTTCAAAAATGGAAACAAACATGAATTTTCCAATTACAGACCCATCTCTCTATTGCCTCAGTTTTCAAAGATTCTCGAGAAGCTTTTCAATTCACGACTTGAAAAGTTTCTGGAGAAACATCATATAATAAATGAAGGTCAGTATGGTTTCAGATCCAAAAGAACAACATCAATGGCAGTAATTGAAGCAATTGAAGAAATCTCAAATGCATTAGAGCAGAAAAAGTATACAGTTGGTATTTTTGTTGATCTTCAAAAGGCTTTTGACACCATTAACCACTCAATACTACTAAAAAAGATGGAAAGATACGGAATTAGAGGACTGGCTGGGAAATGGATCAAAAGTTACTTAACAGGGAGGGTACAGTTTGTTAAAATGGGTCAGTATTTTTCAGACACGGTTGGCATTACTTGCGGTGTCCCCCAGGGGTCAGTATTGGGTCCTAAACTGTTTAACATATATATGAATGACATTTTTAATACATCTAAAGTACTAAAACTAATTCTATTTGCTGACGACACAACTATTCTATACAGTGGTGATGATTATAATGAGCTTGTAATCTCCGTAAACAAGGAACTACATCAAATAAAAAAAGTGGATGGATGCAAATAAATTATCCTTGAATGTAAATAAAACTAAGATGATGATGTTTGGGAATTGCAACCTAACGTCTGAATCGAGAATAAGTATTAATGATATCCAAATTGAAATGGTAAGTGAAATTAAGTTTTTGGGAGTAAAAATTGATAGCAAGTTGTCATGGAAACCCCACGTCAGACACATAAAAACCAACATTTCCAAAAGCCTCTCAATTATTAACAAAGCAAAACTATACCTAAATGGAAATGCACTCCGTACATTATACTGCAGCCTGGTTCTTCCATACCTGACGTATTGTGTTGAGGTCTGGGGTAACACTTACCACAACACACTACATCCTCTCATCATATCACAGAAAAGAGCAGTGCGGATCATCCATAAGGTTGGTTTTCTGGAACATACTCATAATCTTTTTACTCAGTCAAAGCTGCTAAAGTTTGATGATCTTGTTAAATATAATACATCAATAGTCTTGTATAAAGCATTCAACAAATTATTACCGTCTAATCTGCAGCGTTTTTTTAAGACTCCTGAGCGAGCTCATAACTTGAGAGGTTTTGGATATTTTTCACTGCCGAGATCAAAAACCACTCGTAAATGTTTTTGTCTGTCAGTATGTGGAGTAAAACTTTGGAATAAACTGGACTCACAACATAAGCAATGTAAAACTATTCATCGATTTAAACTGTTCTATAAACATAAGGTCTGGTTACAATATAGAGATGAGGGTCTTTAATTTAATCAGATTTTCTCTGTCTCATAGTGTAACATGTGCTCAATGTTCCATTACCTTGTTAGTATATAGAATCTTGCTATTGTTGTTTTTTCTTTTTTGTTCATTACCATTGTTGGTATATTTTCTATTACCATTGTTGGTATATTTTCTATTACCATTATTGGTAACTGTTGTTACAATGTAAATGTCCTTGTTGCCCGTGATAACGCCACTCTGGTATGATACTGGCTTGAACTGTAACAGTGAAGTTGATCGTTTAATCACTGAAATGGGGATATAGGGGTGAGATTAAATACGTTTTTTCTTCCTCCCACTCCTTTTCAGGCAGAAATATATGGCCATGTTAAACCATAGATTTTTGTTTATACATTTTTTGTTTACACTGTTTTTTTTGTTTGTTTGTTTTTTTATTGTGTTTGTCTGTTTTGTTTTTTGCTTTATATTATTTATATTACTTAATTGCATTTAATTACCTCGTTTTCTCACTTGTGCCATTGCCTGAAATAAATTAATAAATACAAATACAATACAAGACAGCTTGTGGTCTAATTTGTTCTAAATGTATTATTATAGATTCCAGAGTCTACTTTTAACCAATATAAAATACAACATATATCGCAAGATCGGGTCGACAGTGGCTCAGTTGGTAGAGCCTGAAGGTCGTGGGTTCGAGCCCACCATAAGACCTACTTCACGACTCCCACTGATGTCTGCTGTCGTTGTGTCCTTGGGCAAAACACTTGACCCCACTTTGCCCGAAGCCCCCACTGAAAGATCTCGGCTCTTGTTGACTCACCACCTGCAGGAGGATCAGTGAGGGGCTGGTGCTCTGTGTACTGGGTGCAGCTTTGACTGCCACCCCCCCCGACCCAGAAATGGATTAAGGGGAAGAAAATGGATGGATGGATGGCTGTATCACGAGACACGTTTTTTTCTATAACACAGTTCATACACAAGGCAACTCAAAGTACTCACCAGGCCATGGAGTGACGAAGCAGGGCCGCTTTAAAATCTAAAGCATGCAGAATGCAAGAAACACCACTCATATGCCCTTGTACTGTCACCCTCAAGAGCAGATGATGTTGTTTCAAGTAAGAAAACTCAAACTTAAAAAATGTATCTTTATTTCTTACTGTGTGTGAAGGGCCGTCTTCTGTGATTTGCAGAGTAGGGGGACTGTCTTCAGCCTGCTCTTCTTCCTCCATTCTCCTTTGGCTCAAGATGGTTTGGTCACTAAAAGAAATGTATTAAAGACAAGTAAGTAATTTAGTAGACAAATAATGTGCTTGCAAAGTTATGTGGTGGACATTTTCATTTCTCAAGACAAATTAGACCTGCTTTGTGACATCAAAACGAGGACATGGCTCCATCTTGTGGTTTGCATAAAAACTAATATGCAAGGATCTGAATAGCAACGATATTTGTGGATGGATTATCCTGGATCTTATCGTATTCATATTTAAAATTTGATACATGCGAGTTCACTGTTGTGTGCTTGATAATGTGATCCATAAATAAATTCTCATTGATTTCATTTTGAAGACATTCAAGATCATTGAGATTAGGTCTGTTATTTTCATACAATAATCTAATCAATCGAGTGCTAATGTGTTCAGTCGACCACAAAATGTCTTTGGTCTTTGTATCATTTACCAATGAAATGTAATTCATTCATTGCTCAGTAGGGTCAAACTTGATGACTGAATAATGGGTTTTCTACAGAAACTTCAAACATGAAATGCTAAAAGGTTTAAATAAAGGATTCCAAATGTAATATTTGGCATTTTCACCTCATGTTACTTATGCAATACTTCAAATGTGCTCTGAGCTTTTAGATTTATATTGTGACTCGGGCTCAAAGTTTATAAAAATATTTGTTTTGAAGCATAGAAGTATTGTAAAATAAAAAAAATAAAAATCTGAAATGTCTTTAAAATGTATATTATTGTGTTACAACTTGCCTCCGTTAAACCCCATTTCATTGGCCTTCTACAAGTTCTAGACTGAGCGATTAATTAAAATAATTATTGTCAAACTAATAAATTATCAAATTAATTATTAGATACATTACTAATTATGACCCAAATAAAAAGAAATTGCTGAAAAAAATCCGATCACTTTCTTTGGCAGCAACGCTTGATTCATAAACTGTTTTCTAGTATCGTTCCGAAGTTGAAGAAATTTTATTTGAGGCGGTGTTGTAAGATAAGATTAGCAAGAAGGAAATGACTGCTATTCCCATCACCTGCAATAAACGATCTCCTCACAGACAAAGTTTGACTTGTATATAATGAAATTATACTTACTTTGCATTTTATGTAATATGATCATTAACAACTGAGACTATATGAATGCATTTAACTCTTAAAAAGGAACAACGGACCATCAACAGTACTTCCAAATTTCTCATTTACATACAGTAGGTTCTACTAATATAAAGGGTGTGTTAAAATATTCAAATTGAAATTTTTCTAAAACTAAAATGCATTTACACCCAAAAAACTGAATTGTAATTTATTTGTAAATAAAGTTGCTTTTTTGTAGTTCTTTGCATATTTGTAGTTTTACCCTTTACCATAGAGAGATTAGAGGAATGTTTATCTGTTTTATATTTTTAGGATTAGGATTTCTTTGCTGATCCTAATCTCATCATTCTAATTTGTGATGTCCCTTATCACTTTCCATAACACTTTCATGTCATGCCAAATATCTATGGGTTTTAAAATGATGGAAGGATATAATAATAGAGTTGCCATAGTGATCAAGAAATAATAAATGTATATAATAATTGTGTTTCAAATGGAAAAATATGATACACTGTTGACTTGTTTGAGAAAATATATTGGCAGAGAGTGACCTATCGAATTGTTTGTCCCAGAAAATCATTTTAAGACAGGCATGAGATCTGTGGTCACAACAATAGGCCTATTCATATCAATGGTAAATAATAACCAGTGTATTTTCATATCTAGACAAAATATTAGAAAGATCATGAAATGGTTTAACACTGGTCTGTTGGAATTCTAAATTAGCATAGACAAAATTCCAGACATTATAATAAGTTTAGGGTTATATGAATCTTTGCTGAGTTTTTGACGTGGAACAAACAGTACTTACACAAGTCTCCGCTTTCTCCTGACGTGTCTTTCGAGTCTTTCGTTAATTCGTCATGTTCTCAGGTGAAATTCAGAGCTCGTGTTGTGCAAAAGTTGTGCAGAGTTGAACCATAAGTTGAACCAGCAAAAGTCCAGGAAAAGTGCTAAACACCCGGAAATGTGTTTTAAATAAAGGTCGACTCGGTTTGAACAGCGCTGTGTCCCGAGAGGGCGGAGACGAGCGAAGCAACACAGGCGCACCTTTTGCAATCTGAACAAAAGTGATGGAAATATTATAAACACATATTTCATCAGTCGTCTGTTTTTATTATTATAGTTGCAATGTGTATGCATATGTGTGTATGTATTTACTGTTGGTTTGTTATTTTTAAGTATTAATATTATTTATGTATTACCAACATCCAGTGATTATGATGATAATATGATAGGGACTAACCACTAACCACTCAGTCACCAAAGCGTCCATGTAGCTGAGTGGTTTATTGTTATCTTAGCAAGTACTCTGGCTTCTGAGCTAAAAGGTTCTGGGTTAGACCGGCTTACTTTTTTCAAACAGTGTTTTCAAAAAGGTGTGCTGCAGTTCAGCATTGAAAATGTGTGTGAATTGTACATGATGAAAAAAGGCAGGTAATAAACTATGTTTTCTTCTTTCTGCTCCTTTTTGTGTGTGACTGTAATAAAATTATTTTAAATGTTCTTATTGTGTAAGGCCATTTTACTGCCCGGATTGAAAAGAATACATAAAGTTGACAATTCTTCTACCCTGCCTCACTTTATGTTTCACACCATTTGAAAGCCCAACACTGACCTCTGCGGTACACCAAAGGAAATAACTTGTGATCCAAAATCTGCTGGGGCTTCTGCAGTTGAAATGATACAACAATATGTTTAGAATGCATTTGAAATGCTGCTATGTATGCAAAATGTTGTATAAAAGTAATGATTTCAGCACAGTTACTTTTATTGTTGACTATAAAGACTGTCATAACTTTGGTTATCAACACACAATTACCAATTTTTTCTTTCATCTTTCTAGGTGCATAAATATGTTTTGGTTGGCTTTTATCCTAATATTACATCATACAAAAAACAACAATTATCGTCACATATTACAACTACCCTAATGTTTCAATACATTTGTGGCACATCCCAGAAGGCAACATTCGGACATGGTATTTATTTCAGTCTTTAAAGTTTATAACAACTTCTGGATAACATAACATTGGAAACAAAATCGAAAAAAAAAAGACAAAGAAATTAATACACATTTTTCATTATCGCACCCCAGGTTGACAAATTCATAAAAATAAAATCACAGGTAAAAACATTCTTCCCCAGAACTGCTCAAGATTACAGTACATTGAGAGCATATCGTGTCAATGCATTTCAATAGGCTCAAGTCTGTACCATTTGGCTTAATTCAAGTGGTTTGAAAGTGGGTTAAATGACAACAAATATTACCCACGTAGTGATTCATTTCCTTTATTTCGTCCCCAAATCATCTGAATATCTAGAGAAGCATATCCATTTTAATCAAAAAGTCATTAATTCTACAATACAGAAAGTTGGTAAAACCTTTTGGAGGAATTGTCTGTCAGTGCTCAGTAGTATATGTATTTGCGGGTGAATGCAGTCGTTAATTACAAAAAATAACAGTCCCACAGCCAAATAAAATCTATATACCATCTTTTATCTTTGCTTTCAAATATATATTTATTATTATTATATATAAAATACTGTTTCATTCATAAAAGCCTTTGTACAAGATGAGTGGATGTGTGTCCGTGAGCATAGTATGTGTGGTCTTTGTATGGTCAAAAAAAATAAAATATGAAATGACAAACAGCAGATACCATCCGCTAACTATCACGCTAAAAACAAAAGGTTTTACACAATATACACATTATTACTTACAAAAAAGAGAACCAGTTAAGACGCAGAACATTTTTGAACTACGGGAGTTAGTACCAGCAAATGTGACGAACTGGACAGAAAATCCATAGAGACAAAGGAGAAAGAAAAAGTGAAAAGAAAAAAATTCTCCTGCTAAATATATAAGGACATAAGTTACAATTTGGAATTCAGAATATGGATTCATTTAGTTAGTGGGTCTAGTTTTGCTGGTTTCCCAATAAAGCTACTGTCATTTCAAGCAAACTTAAGCCCTGTTTCCACCAGCCCGACTTGGCCCTACTCTTCTCTACTCAGCTCTACTCTATCCCTATTGGGAGCGTTTCAACATGCCCTTCTTTTTAGTACCTGCTTGGCCCTGGTTCTTACAAGTCCGAGCCGGTACTTAAGTGTTCTAACTGCCAAGGATATACTATGTGCTATGGTTACAAATCAATTGCCCTGGATACTGGAAGAGCCGAATAGAGTAAAGTAGAACCAAGTCGGTCTGGTGGAAACAGTGCTTTAGTGGATAAATTAGTGAGATAAATGTAGATTAATTAAAGCTGGGGTACCTCACTTTCGAACAACAAAGGCTCAAAACTACTGTATGTCATGTCGTCCAACTAACTTGTGTTCACATACATGTATTTGTTTTCACATCTTTTGATCATCTTTCTCAGACAAAACCAGAGAAAAAGAGGACCACCTGGCCAGCTCTTTCTATTGGGCTAAACAAGCAGTAGAAAAATAAAAGTTAGGGATTCCAGCTATATATAAAAATAGAATAAACAAACTAACTAAATAAAAAATTTATAAGCTCCTGAATTAAAAAAATGTCAACTAATGTCGATATATTTTGTTTGCAGCATGTCTCTAAGCAAAGCCTACAGTCAGTGCATCTCTCATATCGGATGTTTTGAAGTTCAAAGTGCCGATTTGGTAACTGTGGAAACCGTCCACTCCTCCTCAATAAGCCCCAAAACAAAAGAAAAACAAAAAAAGGAAAATATTAGGTAGGTAGAAGTCTGTTAAGGATCACATTTGTGTTGCACCAACATGAAAAGGAAAATATAAAAAAGTTTATGTGCATGTTACAGAAAAAGAGCACAAATGAAAGCCTGCCTCGTTCACTGCATGTGTCACATTGGACATGGACCAACGGTTATTTACATGTGGAAATACATCTAGGTGAATGAGAGCGTGGCCAGGGCCAGAGGCACAGGAAGAGTCCACTGAGAAAGGGGAAGAAGAAAAGCACTTGTTGTCACACATCTGTCATGGCACCATTAAGTGGATAATTTCTGCTTTCATTTGAGGTACTTCTTAGGAAAAACAAAGACTAAATTTAAGAATTATTTTAAGTCAGTTTTTTTCTTTTTTATGAAGCTGTGTTGCACAGTAGCACCATTGTTTTAGTTAAAGTTTTCAGGAAGACGATGCACCAGGAATTTCCAAAGCCTTGTCGCCACGGTGACAGCAGAAGTGTCATGGCCGCCGTTCATAGCTCGTCTTCTCCTCCAAATCGTTTTTTTTTTCGGCTTCCGGGCGCTATGGCGATGGAGAGGGGTTCATGGCCGAGAGCGTTACGTCCTCTTCATACACACCACACAGCGGCTCACGCGAGCGCGCAGGTTTCCGGCTTTGAACGTCTCCGACTGTGGTCTCCTGGAGAAGACATTGGGTGTAGTTATTGACAATCCAGCAGAAATCTAAATGGATAAATTATTTTCCTAATGATAAAGATGGTTAAGAAAAAAATCTAAGCAATAAAAGTGAAATCATGTTAAATGAAAGATTAGAAAAGACAAAAGAAAACCAAAATTTTCTAAGTCTGAATTTTTCTTTTTTTTTCTTTTAATTTGTACATGTTTAAGAAAGGAGCAGGCAACATATGATTATTTCCGCTCATTTTCATTTCAGTGACAGGATTACAATTATTTGAAATTCAATTGCAATATGTGATGCACCAGGTTTCTCTCAAAATAACCAAACTAAATCATAGTTTGGTTATTTTGCAATAGTCATGCACAGTTTTGTTGTTGTTGTCTTTTTAACTTAATCATTGTAGTTCAAACACTTGCGTTTGAACTGTTTGATTCCCTGATTTGTGTTGGCGAATCGACAACTTTGGTAAAGTTCTCCAAGATAACTACTTTTGTGATTTAGGGCTATACAAAAATGAACTAAATGTAATTGATCAATAGTATGAGGCTGGTGAAGGGATTGCTGCGTGTTAAGAGTATCTCATCTCCTATCTGAACCTGACCTACACTGTACATCATAAATCAGTACTGTACAGCCTCTGCACCCCAGAGAGAGAATTCTGTGACGTTCAGCTTTGTGTAAGCTACATAACCGAGATCCAATAATATTAATCTTAATATTACAGAGGGGACATTTAATTGCTGCATCACCGATTACAGAACAGGAACGAGGAGAACACAACACAAGATAAAAGAACAACAACTCTTTACTAAAAATAAAATAAAATGTAATTAAATCTCTAAATTTAGCATAAAAAAGAAGCAAGTATAACGTCTCTTGCTTTAGCATAAGCAAATTTATCATGAGGAAGCAAATCTAAAATCCCCAACATCAGCGTAATGAAAAAGCAAGAATAATGTAGTACATTAAGTAGTAGAAATAAGTAATACTAATCTTAAAGTCCCAAATTTGTACCTGAACATCTCGTTCTGCTCTACGATGGCCAACCAGAAGCTGTAGCTGTTGCTATAGTAATTACAGGTTCCTCTGCCGTGGCACTCGATGAAGGGAGCGCTCCTGAACTCCTCCAGACAGGAACCAGGGGACGCCAGGGCCTGTCCCGAGCCCTCCGCCCCCGCACTGGTGTGCTGAAGGGACAGACAGAGAGCGGTCAATGCACACAGAGTCACAGAGTATGTGCACCGATTAGGTTTGTCAAAGCTGGAGTACCTAACTTTGAAACAACAAAAACAATGTTTTATAACATCCATCCATCCATTTTCTACCCCTTAATCCATTTCTGGGTTGGGGGGATGGCAAGAGATGCATGTGCTATGTACACATAGCACATTTTATAACAACGTAATAAAATCCATGTTCCTTGCTCTCAAAGCAGTTTCACATGCATGTTTTTTATAAGCCAGTGTTACATCTTTAGATCAGCTTTGAAAAAGTGAAAAAGAGAGAACCGCGTTCAGAAAGCCAATCATCCCTCAGTATGTAAACTATATAGTGTTTTCTAATTACATTATGATTCAGAAATCCTTTATCCGTCACACAGTAAAATCATTAAATAAAAATAAGCATGTTGTAGTTTGATGTGGTCTTACTGCTAATTTACACATGACGCGTTACAGCACGAACGCGTTATACGCGCAGCAGACGCGCGTAACATTTTTACATGTTAACCAATAGTGGATTTCTCCTATTTGGGTTTTAGTTTGACACTTTTTTGATGGTTCGTGGTCGGTACTGCGGTTAGTAGTGTTTTTTGTATTACGGGGAATAGTAATTCATATTGATATTAAGTTTATTTGTATGTTTATAAATTGTTATAAATATTGTTCAGGAGTTATTAGATTAGCTATAGATATATATAAGCAATTTAGATTTTGTGGGAATAAGTATTGTTAGGATTTATTCGTTGTATGCGGTGTTTGGAAGGATGTTTTAGGCCTAATTTTGTTTGTTCTTATTCTAGGTGTCCGCGTTGGTGTTCTTCTTATAGTAGTGGTTTTATGATAGTGTTTTATTTTTTTTGGTTTTGGTTATAATTGTATTTGTGTCCATTGTGTTTGGATGTTTGTTTTGTCTTAATTGTTCCCGTTTCCCCCTTTTTCTGGTAGTACCTTTTACTTTATGGTGGTTGGAATTTGTGGTGGTCTTTATAATTTTGTTGGTTCTTGTTGTTTCATGTTTATGTGTTTAACTTTTTTGAGGTTTGAATTATTATCATTTATGTAGATTATGGTTGTTGTTTACGCCCGTTTTTGACCGGTTTGTGTATATATAAGTAGATTTTGTTTGGCTTATGGCATGGGATGTTTATACCGTTTTTTATTATTTGGTTGCGTTTTTCTTGTAAGAATATTAAAGAATTCTTGACATTATAGTAAAATATAATAAAATTAAATAAACCAACCCAACCCCACCCCTCCCCCAACCCACTCCCAGGGTAAATAGAATTTATCAGCCACTATAGTTTCTTTGCTAGAGTTATATATATTATATATAATATATATCATGATTAAAATCGACATTTAGAAAAATCCAAATAATATATATTAACATAAAAATATGCTTACTATCTCAGAACAAAAAGGATTGGCGTATAATAAAAAAAGACTATATAATGACTTAATTTATTTACATATTTATCCCCCCCTTTTTAATGGTTAAATCATAATTAGTTAATCCCAACTTGACCTTAGAAAAAACCTGTGCCTACTTACCACAACTAAATAAACTGAATCTGGAAAAAAAAATAACTACTTCACACACTATTATAAGTATTAAATAGGGAATTAAAATGTGTCTACAGGATTGCAAAAGAACTAAATTTAATTTCCATAATGAACCTTGAAACTACAGTTAATGACAAAAAATTAGATTATTCTAAAACATTAAATATCCAAAAATCCCCCCCCCCCCCCGCCCCCCCCCCCCCCCTCCCCCCCCAAATTAAAATATCATTTTAAAAAAAATACTCACAAACCCCCACAATATAATCACCTGGCAACGATCCCATACAATCCCCCCCCTCCTATTGTCACCATACACATCAATCACAACCGAAAATCAGTATGCCACCCAATAACCCCCAAGTCCCCCCCCCCTCTCCCCAGCAAAAACACTATATCCCAATAAGACAAAAGCACCAATCAACCCCCCCCTTCAATAAACCCCAACACCGTCTTCATACATAGACAACAAAAATACTCAAACACTAATAATAAAAAAATACACTCTCACCATCCTACTCCATACCATAAATCAACCCTATATATATATATACTCATCCCAACCCACCCTTTCCACACCCCCACCCCATAACCAATAGTAAACCCCATGATTCTCACAAAATCGTCCCCCCCCCCAACATCCCACCACAACCACCCAACATCTCGCCTAAAATACCACTAGCATACCAAATTTTAAACCCCACTACAAGTTACCCAACCCACAATAAACCCATACCCCCATACCTTCTACATCATCTTACACCCCTAAAAAATCCATACCCTCTACCATATACCCAACTCTACCTCCCCCCCACCCCCACCCCCCCATAACAAAACACACCATCAAAACAAAAAAAAAACAAAAACAAAAAAAAAAAAAACAAAAACTCAAAACAAAACAAAAAAAAAATAAGAAAAAAAAAAAAACAACAAAAAACAAAAAAACAAAATCCAACAAACAAAAAAAAAACAAAAAAAAAAAAAAAAAAAAAAAAAACTAACACAACCAAAAAAAAAAAAAAAAAAAAAAAAAAATAAAATAAAACCAAAAAAAAACAAACCAACAAAAAAACAAAAAACAAAAACCAACAAAAACAAAAACAAAAAAAAAACAAAAAAAAAAAAATCCAAAACACAAAAAACAAAACAAAAAAAAAAAAAAACAAAAAACATCAAACAAAAAAAAAAACAAAAAAAAAAAAAATAAAAAAAAAAAAACCAAAACCACAACCGACCAAACAAAACAAAACAAACCAAACCAAAACCAAAAAAAAAAAACAAAAAAACAAACAACCAAAACAAAAACAAAAACACAAACACCAACAAAACACACAAACAACACAAACAAACAAACAACAAAAACCAACCACAAAACACAAAAAACAACAAAAACCAAACACAACAAAACCAACACCAAACAACAAACCAACAAAAAACACAAAAACACAAAACACAACAACAAACAAAAACCCCAACAACAAACCCACACCACAACAAAAACACAAAACAAAAAAAAACCAAACAAAACACAGTATAAGCTACTCGACTGGCTCCCATCCCCGTGTGTGCCTAGAGCGCATTATAGGAACCACTAATACTTGAGCGAAGGTGGAGGGGAGAATCCAACCGCCACGAACTGGGAGGGCGGGGCCATTCCTTGGAACTAGGTCCCATCCAATTTGCATGTCGTGGACCCGGAGCGTGTTCCATGGGAGAGAATCTTTGTTTTGGTGCCAGTAAAAGGACCATATTAGTTCTCTCTGTGTTGCATCCAAAAAGAGCCTGTGTGGCAAGCGTTTGCAACTGGGCCCGAAACATGGTCTTCTTACATGAGAGGTTGAAAATTCTGTATGTGCTTTTCCAATTGTCTGCGTACATTGAGAATTTTGCAGTAATTTGACAAAACGTAGTTCCTTTTTGTTAGTGATTTTCAAAACAAATTTAACTCAAAAATAAACAGCTTTTTAACTTATTGGAATACAGTCTCGAGTCACTAGTGATCAGAATCAGCCCTCTGACAGACAATAGGCGATCAATATCTAGAGACACAAGCCTCATTTGAAAATTACTTGTGTTCCATTTATTTTTCACATTTTGATGCAACTTGTGTAAAAGTGCTTTATAGGTCTCCATGGCAAAATCAGGACCTAGGTGGACGAGTCAGATATGTGTGGTCACAACCCATGGGGACAGAACAAGAATATTTATTTATAAATGATGGTTTTGGGGGGTTGTGGGGATGTAGGGTTTAGGGTGGGGCATGTTGGCTTGTTTTTAACTTAACAGTAAAGCATTTGTGTTACATTTTTTGTATGACAAGGCTTTATAAATAAAATTGAATTGCTTGATTGATTGAAGAAAAGGTTTCCGGTGGTCTGGCAGAATACGAACCCTGTGGTGTAGTAAGGGATGCAGATCAAGTGAAGGAGTAACGGAGCCAGGATGGGAGTCAGCTAACAGGACTGGCAGGCCAAGTGTGCCATGCTGGGGTGTTGCGAGATGGTTTGTTTAATTATTGTGGCTCACACTCCCAGCCTCCTTAAGGTCTATTTTACAAAGTACTGGGAGAATACCATCGACTGCTACTCAAATCTAGGAACAGGCGGAAAGTGGGTTATCAGCGGTTCCCGCGTCTGCGGCTTCCTGTGAGCCGCTTTGACAACAACCGGCAGCGCGAGCCAAACGTGCATGTATCCCCTAGACCATATCAATCAATCAAATTTTTATTTATAAAGCGCTTTTCAAACGAAAAAATCATATGCCTACACCCCACTACCAAGAACCCCCCAAAACCACATTTATTATTATCTTATCCATCAATGCGTGGAATAATACACACCACAAACACACACACCAGTCAATAAGGTACAATGGTAAAACAATAAAAAGATATCTGGTGGGTGAGCTGTATAGTGCAAGAGCGCCTCAAGGAGCCATCTGGCTCCGGGAGAGAGAGCGGCACCAGACCCCACCAGGTCAAGAAAACAGACTGCAGACAGAGACCAGGCTCCAGTGTTTCGGACACCTACTGGGGATACTAACACAATACAATAGAAAGGTAAAACATTAAAATGTGAGACACACAAAAAAAAAAGGCAGCTGCTAATATTAATAATAAAATAGTAAAAGGTAGATAAAATAAATAAATAAAAACTACATAACATGTGTCTAAAAACATAAATACATTCTAAAAAGGAATAATAAATATAAAAACTAATCCAACAGCTAATCTTAAAAGGTGAGTCTGAGTGCTTTTAAAAATATGGAAAGTTCTCTGCCGGCCTCTTCTAAGTCTCCGGAGACTGTTCAGTGACGGGGGATAGTGCTGGCAAGATGCTCGCGTGATTTTGGCGAGTGTGTGTCCTGACTTTGGGGATGGTTAGGAGTCTGCTGCGGAGGAGCGCGGGGCGGGAAGGTTCATAGGGATAAAAAGAAATCTGAAAGATAAGAAACATTCAATCATCAATCAAAGTTAATTATGTAGAGCGCTTAATACCTGGCAACAAAGCGCTTCACAGTCCACATCAAAATCATACATACACAAACACCCGAATCACATTAAACATTAAACATCACACAAAAGATTAAAAACACCAATTAAAACATTAACTCACACCCGAAAATAAACCATTTAAACCTTTCAAAATTACCCAAGAAATTTAAATCAAATAATAAAGAAGCAGAGCCATTAAAAATGGGATAAAATCTTCAGTTGTATGCACGGCAAACAGTACAGTCTTTAACTGGATATTGAACATTGAAGGTGCCCGCCTCCCTCCTTTTAGGGAGATTGTTACAGATATAGCTGCAAGGTTCCTGAAGGACGCTCCCATGTAAGGTTACATTGGGCACCAGCAGGGGCAGTCTGTGTCTCAGGTCCGGGTTGGTTATATGAACCAAACTGACACTAATGTATTCTGGAGCACGGCCATGGAGAGACTTGTACCAAGCTGAGCGTTTTCAATTAATTTTGAGCCCAGGAAGCCAGTGAGAGACTGAGGATGGCATAATATGGTCATACTTCTGGTTTGTCAGGACTCTAGCAGCTGCATTTTGGATGTACATGCAGGCTTTCCAGGTCTGTTTGGACAGACTGTAAGCAGGCCCTTGCCTTAGTCTAGTGCTGGAGACAAATGATGGAAAGAACTCCAAGGTTGCTGTACACTCTATTTCTAACTTTGGAATGTTTTTCAGTGGAAAAAGTGGTTGCGATCTGGATTTATGGTGGTATTGAAATTTAGGTCTGAGTCCAGTATTACCCAAATATTTGACTTGTCTGAAGGAAGAGAGAGAGAGACGAAGTTTGCTCACTGACGCTAATAGTTTTGGGGACCAAAGACAATGATTCGGTTTTGTCTGTATTTAGCTGGGGAAATTATTTGATCCAGACATGTCTGTAGGGATCAGTTAAGGCGCAATCCAGTGGTCCATGTTCTCTGCAGTCAGTGAGACATCGACTGAGGTGTGTTCAGCGTAATTGTGTAGGACACTTTGATTTCTTAGTCTTAAGTGACCTACCGCAGATGTAGAGATTAAATAGGCGGGTCCCGGATCTACCCTGTGGTCAACCGGTCAGGGCCACACATCTGAGAGCAGTCTCCAATTCCACAGCGTACGTCCTCTCTTCAGGTAAGCTAACCCCGTCTAGGGTGTGCCAGTGACACCCAGCAGTCCTCCAGTCTTGCATGCGGATCACATTGGACGACAGTGTCGAACGGGACTATGATCTAACCTGACCAACACACTGAGACTTTACTGCTCAGTGTGCACTTCGAATGTGTTTGTAACCTCATAGCGCGGTCTCAGTGCTGTGGTGGGGTCTAAACCAGATGGAACATATCCACAGCATTATTCCTTGTTAAAATTTCCAGTACGTGTTGGGAGGCCTATTTCAAGAATTTTTCAATAACGGCAGGATTCGATATGGGGCGCTCCTTTTGAAAGTCCGCCGGGATCCGACTGCTCATTTTTTAGGAGAGGTCTTATGACTGCTGTTTTTGGCATAGGAAATGTCTTGAGACGAGACATGTTTACTATTTGTGTCAGTGAAGGTAACCAACTGATCAGGCCGGACTTTCAGACTTTAGAGGGCATATATCCAGGCTACATGTGGAGGGGTCAGACTCTGATTTCTTTTTGACAGTTTCAGTATCCACAGGTGCAAAGTGGAGTTAGGCTGGAAAGCTTCTCTGGCTTTTGCAATTGTTTATACGTGCGGTGGAGGTGATAGTGTTTTTTGATTCTTGTACTTGTATCGAAAACAGTGCGAACTCATTAAACCAAGATTTAGGGAAAATTTAGGGGCAACTTTACAGGGGGTTCGTTAATCTACCAACTGTTGAAACATAACCCCGAAAAATTGTTACTGCACCCTCATAACTGACAGAAAATACATTGTTTTGTGCTTCGTAGAACCGGATTTAAATTCACAACTCATTTTAAAGATTTCATAATGCTGGAATTGGACTTTAGCCACTTCCGTTCGGCCCTCGGCATCTTGCTTCTGTGCTACCGGTCTGCCTTCTTCCATGGGGCTTTTTTTATGGGTAAACTATTTTAACGTCAAGGGAGCCATGGGTTCAGAAAGTAGAACACTGGTGGGCCGAGATTAATAACAAATATCAACAGTAGACCTGGAGTTTTTCCAAAATTTAGTTCCATGAATCAGTACACTTGTGTTTTCAAGTATGGTCTTCTTTAAACAGTTGTAATTTCAGTGGTGGTTTTGTTAGCAAAACCACA